AGGAACGTTGATGTCATCCCTTCGACAGGAATCTTCGACACGACACAGCGACATTCTGCCTTTCCTTTTGAGTTTGTTGCAATGCATTGGATGTCATGGGAAGAGCTCGTAACAAGAATTTGCGTTTGAGCCACTCCATTGTCAAATGTTGTTCTGAAAACAGTGAAGTTTTTATTTCAAAGCGTTCCAAACAAGCGGTCAATCAGAGAATTGAAATCAGGGAAGGATGGAGAGACATGACGTGATTGATCGAGGAAGAGGGGGGGTGAAGGAGATTGGAGGAAAAGAAGAGTCATGAAAAAGGAACCGCCAGGACGTCAAATAGACGGAGAAGTGTCTACGTGAAATTTTGTAGAAATTTTGCATCGAAAGTTCTCTTGCATTTTCCCTCTGACCCAAATACGGTGGGTTGTGCTCAAAATGAAGAAGAAAGATCAAAGCACTCGCCTTTCCGTTTGCAGTTCTCCGTCGACGAACCACGTAACTTCTGGCACCGGCTCGCCTTCAACAATACACTTCAGAGTCACTTCTTCAGCACACGTACATATATTTTTCAGTGGAATAATGAAACGCGGACTCTGGCCGAGATCGTGCAATGAGGACTCGGAGCGGTCTCTTGTCAGACAACAGTGCGTTTCTGCTCGGCCATGGCAGTTTGTGGCGATACACGACACACGAAGTTCATCTCGTTGAATGTTGCGAATTTTCAGGATGGCTATCCCGTCCTCGTAGATAATGCTGTGATTCCTGAAATTACTCTTTCAGTTTGGTCATAGATGGGAGATAAAATGACGGGTACCCGATAGAAATCCCGTCGCGCGGCGTGAAGGCAGAGACGCAAACGGTGAGCGGACGAGTCGCAGCGTGTACGGTATGACAAGAGACGTACATTTTATTCAAACTAACGCCAATTCGCTACAATACGCGAAACGACTCGTCCGCCGACCAGCCTGCGTCTCTGCCTTCTCGCCGGGCGACTGGCCCCATGTTGGACACCCGAAAAATGACTCTTTCTAAACTTACTCGTCTTCGGTAACAATTTGCCCTTCGATTAACCAGTCGACAAGTGCGGTGGGTGTTGCCATGATAATACACTTCAAGGTGCAAGTGTTTCCTTTGAAATCACCATCCTCCAGTGGAAGAAGGAAGAACGGTTGTTGTCCATCGATGGCCTTCATAGAAGATCGCTCCCATGGCCTCTTGGGGTTCTTCAGTTTTATCAACAACTTCAGAAGAAGCGAATGTGAATGTCGTCGCGGATTTGTGTGGGCTCAGCACAACCGCGTCCACTTCTCCACTGGCGTCTTCGCGGTCGCAGATCACATGTGTGCCGATCCGTTTATGCTCCAGCACATCATCTGAATACATCCTCATGAGTTCAACAAGTCAGCACACTAACTTTACCCCCAATACCCCAAGTCTCCGTCACTGCGCAGCCCCTTTTCGATCTCTTTTCTTCCAAACTAGAGCACTTAATGGAGGATTTCACAAAAGTTGGTGGTCGAAGAGGATTAAATCTACCTAGTAGGAAAGCTTTCTAAGGGTGTGAACCAAACCCGCGCCACTCCACTCCCACCAAACTGACACTCGCCGTCTGACTCCAGCTACTCTGGCAGAGGGAGAGAGAGAGCTTTAGCGTTAAAGAGGGCAGCAGCGATGAGAGTTGCATTAATGCGGAAATAAAAGGGCAGAGAAGTGGTCTCAT